GAGGAGCCTGCTCCAACCAGCTACATCAGGAGGCAATACATTTATGGCATTTCTGCATCAGGGAGAGCATCATTCCCTCAGCAGCTCACTTATTCTGCGGTCCAGAATCATTTGGCAGATCACCTCAGCAGGAATTTCTCCCAGGATCACAAGTGGTCTCTGAAATCCAAGGTGCTGAGGTCCATCTTCACAGAATGGGGCATCCTGGCTATCAACTTGTTTTCAGTGAGACACAACAGGAAGTACCATCAGTTTTGCTCTTGAATGAGTTTAAGTCCAAGCTCCTTAACTGAAGCCTTCCACCTCAATTGAGGTGTGGCTGTGATCCCAGTGATCCCACAAGTTGAAGTTGGATCAGGCCAAAATGATTGTCATTGCCTCAGCTTGGCCATGGCAGTGTTGGTTCTCCAACCTACTCAGTATATTGATTCAGCCTTGCTACATTGTCAGATGGGGAGGAGAAACTATATTCGGAAGCTGTTCAAGGGTTGTTGCTTAACAGCAGGAAGCCTTCTATTGCAGTGGCTTATTTAGCCTAGTGGAAGCAATTTTCAGTTTGGTCGTTTGCTCAAGGAATTCAGATGATGTAGGGCTGTATTCGGGATGTTTTGAACTACTTATTACACCTTCAGTCTTCTGCTCCAATTGGTTGATGGTTTAGAGTGATCTTGGCATTTCATCTGCCCATCCAAGGGAATGTAGGCAGTGTTGTTGTAGCCATGTTGGTCCCCGGATATTAGAGAGACAAAGCGGGTGAGGTAATATCTCTTATTGGACCAACTTCTGTTGGCAAGAGAGACAAGCTTTTGAGCTTACACAGAGCTTGAAGCTTGTCTCTCTGACCACAGAAGTTGGTCCAATAAAAGGTATTACCTTACCCTTCTAAGGGAAAACAGTTTTCTTAAACCTCATGATGGTGAGATTTCTAAGGGGAGTCATTCTTCTCCACCCACCTGGGAAAGAGCCAGTTCCCTTGTGTGGCCTTAATACTGTCCTGGCTGCTTTTATGGGTCCTCCATTCAAGGCCCTGGGAACTTGTTCTCTGTCCCTCCTTTGCCAGAAGACAGTCTACCTTGTGACAATAACATCTGCAAGAAGAGTATGCGAGCTACAGGCTTAATGGCAGAGTCTCTGCACATGCACATTTTCAAGGACAAAGTGGCTCTATAGCCATGTCCAAAATTTTTGCCAGAAGTGTTTTCACAGTTTCACCTGAACCAGCTGATTAATAATATAATAAGATATACCTATCTCATAGAACTGGAAGGGACCCTGAAAGGTCATGGAGTCCAGCCTGCTGCCTTCACTAGCAGGACCAAGTACTGATTTTTTGCCCCAGAGTCCTAAGTTGCCCTCTCAAGGATTGAACTCACATCCCTGGGTTTAGCAGGCCAATGTTCACACCACTGAGCTATCTCTCCCCTTGGTAATTTATTTACCAGTCTTCTTTGCTGAACTGCAGTTGAATGCGAATGAACAGTGACTTCCCATATTGGATGTGAGACAGTGCTGGGTGTTCGACCTTGACAGAACTAAGCCTTTTTGAGCATCGCCTGTTTGTCTCCTAGCAGATCGAATGAAGGGTCAGGCAGTCTCGGTGAAAATGATTTCCAGATGGATAACTTCCTGCATTACATCAGCATATGAAGTAGCTCAGACCATGCCTTCACAGAGATTGGCTCTTTCAATGAGGGCCCAAGCAACATCATTAGCATTCCTCAATTTTCAGCATTGGACATTTGCAGGGCTGTTACCTGGTCTTTTATACATACTTTTAACCAGGCATTATGTGATTACTATTGTGTCTAGGTCAGAGACAAACTCTGGGAAGGCAGTCCTGCAGACATTGTTTAAGTAGACTCTAAGCCCCACTTCCTACGAATACTGCTGGTGAGTCATCTAAGTGGAATACACATCTGCAGCCACTTGAAGAAGAAAAGATAGGTACTTACCTTTATTTTAACTGTTCTTCAATATGTGGGTATTACGTTCCCCTCTTGTGTTATCTGGATCGGTGATCTGCTAGGTCACTCCAATCCTTGACTCTGGGAGCCAGCCTTACCTTGCACTGCTGTGAGAACCCCCACTCCTGGGCTGTTCACACACAGCCTCTGGCATGTAAGCTGCTCCTGGATTGTGCAACTGAATGACAGTAGCCAATATCTCCGGTCCCAGACACAACCCTAGGAACTTCCATCTTGCAGTGTCCAGTTATGCCCGCTGGACGCTGCAAGCTTATATGAGTTCGTCAATTTAACAAAGAAATTGATGTGTACCAGGCTTGTTATCCCAAGCGGAATCTCTGACATGCTTCAAACCAAACGCACTGCTTCAGGTAGAATAAACAAACAGATTTATTAACTATAAAGATAGATTTTAAGTGATTATAAGTCAAAGCATAACAAGTCAAATTTAGTCAAATGAAATAAAAGCAAAACGCATTCTAAGCTGATCTTAACACTTTCAGTGCCCTTACAAACGTAGATGTTTCTCACCACAGGCTGGCTGGTTGCCCTTCAGTCAGGCTCTCCCCTTTGATCAGTGCTTCAGTCACTTGGTGGTGATATCTGTAGATGGAGGCGGAAGAGAGAGCAGGAGCATGGCAAACATCTCTCCCTTTTATCATGTCCTTTCTTCCCCCTTAGCTTTGGCCCTCTGTCCCCCCAGAGTCAGGTGAGCATTACCTCATTGCAGTCACAAACTGATCAAAGGAAGGGCGATGACTCACTCGAGAGTCCAACAGATCCTTTTGTTGCTGCCTAAGCCTGCATCCTTTGTTCCTGTCAGGCTGAGCTGGGTTTGTCCCATACATGCCCTGATGAGGGGTTAACTGCCTCTCTGCTCTTGAAGAGTTTTTGCCTGGGCTTATTTTAAGCCATGAAGACACATTTTCAGCCTCATAACTATATACGTGAAATTCTAACCTATAACATTACTATAACGTTATTGTAACAACAATTACTATAACATCACTATAACAACAATGCTCAGTGCATCATGAGCCTTCCGAAGACACCCAACATGACAAACTCTGCATTGGATATCACATAATCATTTTACAAGGATGAACATGGGGGTGCTGGGTGTTCCCCTGAATACAGAGCATCACAGTGTCTGCAGACGTGTATTCCCTGGACCACTCTCCATCCCCTCTGTATTGGGGTCTGTATTTTTGATGTTTGGTGCAAAGGAACTGAGGGTGGTCAGGGCGGCGCTGCCCTTATATAGCCAGGGGAGGAGTTAGAGCCACAGGGCATGAACGTCCCTTCCTCCCATATACTGCTAGTAAGAGAGCAGTAAGCTCTCTCTCTCCCTGTTTTACACACACACACACACACCAAGTTAATTCTCTAAAGGCTGGAAAGGAAGCTAAAAGATGGACTGATTATTATTTATTTTTTAATACTTGGGTGTAGGCCACAAGGTACTGCTAATATAACATAAGTAGAATACATGGTACAACACTACACTGGCTCCAATCATTCCTCTCTAGCACAACCCAGAGTGTTGAGATGAAAACTGCTCCTCTTCCCCAGCAGGGACCCATACCCATCTCCCTCTCTCTTCAGAATCAATATAAAGCTACTTGGAGAAAGTGAGATATCCTGGGCTCGACTGTCAGCAATATGATGACCCCAACTTTAGATCATCTCTCCACTGAGGAAACCACTGCCACTACTGAGATGTCAGAGTACCTACAATGCCCACAACCTGGCCATGACAAAGGCTCCAGTAGCAGGGAAAGGCTCTGGCAGAGGATAGGTAGTGGGAAGAGGCTGAGCCTTTCCCCGCTGCCTTGCCTCTGCCAGAGCCTTTCACTGATACATTTAGCTACACACCACAGAGTGGGTGCGGTGTGCTTTTCACTGTGGCATGTAGCTATGTGTACACTACACACTGCCGAAAGTGGTGTGCAATGTAGACATAGCCACAGTGACCAGCACAGAAGAGATATTTGCATATTCACAGCATATTTGTTGAAAAAGAAATAACTTTGTACAGTGGCTATGCCAGCTAATCCACAAAACTAGAGCACAAGGGGTCATCAATGGGGAAGATAATGTGATTCTGCTTCAGTAAGTGTACAGTATTCCAGGTAAATTTGCAGACTGTCAGGGGAAGAGAACCTGTAAACTTAGAATCTGTAAGTCATTGAGACACGAATATGGATCCCACTGAGCCATTTTGAGAGAGAAAGTGCTATGTAAAAACCTAAGATAGATATAATAACTGTAGCTATATTGTGAAAAGTGATATTTAAGAACTCCAACTTCCAAGCAGGTCAATACCTTATGAAAGATAATGCTCAGCAGTTTTCAGTATCATGCCTCAAGTTACTTAAAAGCCATTTTTTAATTATTGAAATAAAAAATCTGAAAAATGTTTTAAATTATGGGAAAAAAAACAACTTTGTTCCTTCGCCAATATAATTAAAACAAAGACCAAACCTGAAAGAAAAAAACTTCACTTTTTGGCTAAGAACAAGCATGAGAAATCTGAGCTCAAGAATAACTTTTTCAGAAAACTAAAAGCACTTGAAAAGACCAGAAACTGCATTCCTATAAAAGCCTTTGCAGAGGATTCACAGAATGCCGTTAAATTGGTCCAAACATTAAGAGCAGCAGCAAACAAATGTTACTCTTATTTAGAAAAGAAAAAGACTCTGGGCATCACATATAACTACAGGCGACAGATCCCATGGTCACTGAACATAGTTATCACCCTTCTCCTCGGGGTTATGATGAAAGAATCTCCTCAACCAATTTTACTAAGTGTTTTGGAGGAAGAGAGGGTGGAATTTTGCCCACGGTGTGTACAGTGGACACTAATGTGCCCTCTGTTTGCTATCACAGTATGTTCTAATAGTTAAAGTAAAATCATCATACCCTGGACCCAAACCTGGAAGGGGTGAAGGACCCTCCACTCCCACTGTCTTCCAGGATTATGCTATCTGTGAATCCACTTATAACATGTTGTGCTTTCACACTCATTACTGACAGAAGGAAGACCGAGTCCGGGGACATGCAGCCATTGTCACAGCTCGCTGTAAGTGGCTAAGGAAGAAAATTATACAGGCAAGGGAGAGATTGAAACAGGCAAGTATTTCACAGAAATAATCTTACTTAAACTGGCCAAGTTTGGAAACAATTAGTCAACAGACAAAGAATGATAAAAAAGATTGAAAATAGACTGAGATTTCCTGTATGTGATATAGACTTGTAGGGCCAATGGAGCAGTGCAAGAAGTTTTGGACTGGGCTTAACCAGTCTGCAGGATTCCCTCAACAAAGGGCATTGGGTGTGTGTTGAGGCAGGCAATGGGCATGATGGAAAGAGGCTGATGTGTGTTGCACTCCACTGATCCTGTACTGGCTGAGCGGTTCCTATCAGGCTTTTTAGCTGGTGCAAGTTGGAACATCCCTGGGGCTGCTTTAACTTGGGTGGAGCCGAAGTGGCCCCCAGACAACCCAGGATTAAGGAAGGTGTAAAGCTGGCTTAGAGCAGGCCTGTCGCAAAGAGGAGGCACTAAGGGGTGCTGCTTTCTCACTTGCTATTTATAGCTGTCTCAGCCAGAGCTCCCAGCACCGAACAGGGTGTTGAGAGAAAATCTCGGCACTTCTGCCATTCTGCCAGCAGTGGCTGCTGTGGGGCTGTGTCCCCTGCAAGGCAGCAGTCTCCACTCAACCTGTGCCACTGCTGTCTGCTGGAGACATCACCAGGGAGAACCAGATGCAGAGCAGGGGTCCACCAGGGGCAAAACTGCAGGAGGAGTCTGGGGAGCATGGGGAAGGGAGCCAAAGAAGCTTATGGAGGGGGGCAAAGGGTGGTAGGGCAGAGGTAAGGGAGCAGAAGGAGCTGATGCTCAAGGGACATAAGGACCTACAAGCTGTGGGGGAAGAAAGATGATAGGGGTGCAGTGGGCTGAAAGCAGAGTAATGGGGAAGGAAGGGAAAGCCTGAGATCATGGATGAGGGGATGAGAGCTGATAAATTGACTTCAGGTAGGGTTAAAGTCAGAGAGAGCCCAAAGGAGATGGAGGATCTGAAGGGAGAAGGAGAAAAGAGGAAGAGAGACCAAAGGCTGGGGCCCCGGGTTGGGAAGGGATACCATAGGGAAGAAGAGGTAACCCCTTGTAATTTGGGGAGAGATTCCAGTGAGAGGTGGGAAAGACCCTGAGGATCCCAGAACTGTTGGGAGTGACTCCAAGGAAGACAGAGAGAAGAGGAGGACCTGCAGGGGAGTGATGGAGGGATTTTAACAAAGGGGGACACGGTAGTGAGGATTACTCGAGGGAAGAGAAGAGGGTTCCCAGGAGAGTTGGGGTAAGAGACTGCAGGAAGTAGGGAAAGAGCCTAGGAGACATAGAAGGGAGGGGAGAGTTCATACATCCAAAGAGGGATAGAGAGATAGGGACTGCAGAGCAGGAAGACATTGAGGCTGAGTATTGGAGCTAGTAGAGGGAAAAGAGAAGGGAGGAGGTCTGGGTGGAGGGAGAGATAGCCTCAGTCACCTTGTACCTAATCACCTCCCAGGCATTTAAAATCATCCTGTCTGCAAGGTCATCATTAGGTATAGCTGGGGAGGCCCAACTCCCTTTCACACAGTTTCCACAAACCAGCTCCCACCACTCTGTATGGTTCTTTCCTTTGAACCCCAGTACTGGCAGAAAGCTGACCTGCTGCACCAACTCTGCAGCTAGCAGCAAATTCTAGTCTGTTCTACTCCTGCTGGCTGCCCATTACACTGTGAAGTGAGGGCGGGACAAGAGATGCCAAGGAGCAGCAGTCCTTTCCTCTCTGCCCATGGCAAGGTCCCCCAGGGTATATGAGGCAGGAGAAGGGAGTGTAGGAGTTAGCTTGATACACAGTCAATGTATCACATGTTAAGTAGATTACAAAATGGCTAACTGATAGATCTCAAAGTAGTTAATGAGGAATTACCATTAGTGTTGTTTCTAGTGTGTCCCTCAGGGATCATTTTTGGGGCAAATACTATTCAATATCTTTATCAATGATCTGTATGAAAATATAAAATAATTGCTGGTAAAGTGACAGAGACTGGTGAAATGCCAATGATAGGGACAGGTCAGTTCTACAGAGAGACCTGGATTGCTTAGTAAACTGGGTACAGTCAAACAAGGTGCATTTTAATAGGTCACACATTCATGGAGACTGTATTTTGGAAAGCAGTAACTCAGAAAATCACTTAGGAGTCATGGTGGATAATGAATTGAACATGAGTTCCCAGCATAATGCTGTGGCTCTGAGGGCTAATGCGATCTTTGGATGTGTAAACAAAGGAAATACTGAGTAAGGAGGAGTTATAATCTCTGTGTACTGTGTTGGTGAGATCATTACTGAAATATAATGTCCAGTTCTGGTGTCCAAAACTCAAAAAGGATCTTGGGAGGGGAAAAAGAATTCAGAATGGAACTACAGCTATGATTTGTGGTCTTGAAAACCTGTGCAACATAAAAGGCTGAAGAAGCTCAACCTATTTATCTTTTATCTATTATTTTAAGAGGCAACTTGATCACAGTATCATCAGAAATCTCCCTGTACAGGAAGATGGCTCTGTAATCTAGCAGAAAAAGACAAAACAAGATCCAATAGCTGGAAGCTGATGCTAGACAAATTCAGACTGGAAATAAGGAGCACTTGTTTATCAGTAAGGGGAAACAATCATTGGAACAACTTACCTAGAGATGTGGTAGAGTCTTTGTCACATGAAGTTTTAAAATCTAGATTGGATGTCTTTTTTTTAAGAGAGATGCCCTAGATCAACCACAAGTTCTCTTTTGAATGTTTGTCCATGTTCCTATTTATGGGGCATGTGCACCTGAGTTTGGAGTCTTTTGGCCAGCAGCATCCATTATGACCATACATATACCCTGGGTGACTTTGTAGCCCGCACTAAGGGCACAAAAAGGTGGAGCAGGCCAACCACCACTTGGTTCCTTTCGCCGTCTTCAAGGCAGAGCTGCTCATTGTCCATTCTATTAGGCAGTGCTGGCTTTCTTACAGTGTGTGTGTATGTGTCCCCACTTCCCAGTTATTTCCCAGTTAGTTAAGTTAATATAGTTAATTAGGTAGTTTGCCTGTTGGCACTGTTAGTGAAATTCTGATAAGTTTCCTTTCACCAGGAAAATGTATTTTCCTTCCCTGGTATGGGGACGGCTAATGGTAAGCCCCCCAGATTTAAATACTTCCCCTTGTTTGAGGATGCTCTGCCTGTTAATGATGGGCACACAAGATGTTTGTTTTGCTTGAGAGAATTTCACAGTCATTGGGAATGTTTGTATGTCCACTTCCAAGAGGACATTGAGATCTAGGGACACCTGCCTTCAGCTGTTTCTAATGGACAGATCCATGAGACCGGCTTCAGACCTCCCTACATGAACTGCCTGGCTCTAGAAGCACTCCTAGCTTGGGATCCAGCCCCATTAGCTAAGACTTCTGCTTTAAAATCTGATAAATCTGACACACTCCTGGTGAAGAAGGGACAGGGTATGGAGAAAACAAGAGCTAGTTCTTTGAGTGCTTACTCATATCATTCCACATTAGGTGTGTGCGCTCGCCACATGCATTGGTGCCGGAAGCTTTTCCCTCAGCAGTATCTGTAGGAGAGAGGCTCTGGCACTCTCTGGAGTGGTGCCTGCATGGCGTGGTGTAAGGGGCGCCACCCCACAGTTCCTTCTTGCGGCCAGTGATGGTGCACGGAACATTCGCTGCTCTTACTAGTGTTGCTTAGGCTTCACTTGTATGAACTAGAGTTCTTGTAAGGTTAGTGTACATAATTAGTAATTGAGTTAGTTAGCCCTTAGCAGTAGTTAGAGTTTTGTTAGTCCGGTCGGGGACTTAGCCAGGGGACAGGGCATGCCTCGATCCCCAGGCTTCAAGCCCTGCAATCACTGCAAATGGCCCATGCCCGTGAGCAATCCACATAGTAGCTGTCTCAGGTGCCTTGGTGAAGGACACATAAGTGATAAGTGCCGAATCTGCAAGTCCTTTAAATCTAGGACCAAGAAAGAGCTTGAGATCAGACTCACTTGATGGAGTCGGTGCTCACTCCAGCTCTGGAGCGAAGGTCCAACTTGGCACCCAGCACCATGGCATTGGTGCGTAGTACCCCACTGGTGCCATCGATGAGCCGGCACCGATCCCCATCTACGGCCCCAGCCAAGAAGTCGAAGAAAGCCGGTAGGGAACTGTCTTCTACTCCCCGCAAGGGGAAGGACAGGGCTGGGGGCGAGCTAAGACCCGCACCGGGCGGCTCATCTCCCCCATCAGGAAGTCAGGCCTCAGCTCACGTCGAGTGATGCAGCCCACCCATTCCTTGCCTGGAAGCCCGGACACAGAGGCGGGCCTTCATCAGCTTCAGGTGCCGTTGACATCTGAAGCACTCCAAGCTGAGCAGGAAATCCTGATGTTCCCAGTGCCAGCCACACTGGCCCCGGCGGTGCCCAGACCTCTGGGTAAGCCTGCCTTGGGACCTTTCCGTCCGCTCTCGCCTCAGCGGTACCGCTCCCCATCGCGGGGGAAGTCCCACCACTGTTCACCTGCTTGAAGCCGTCATGCCTCTGATTTAGGGAGGCAGATGCATTGGAGCCCACTACGGTCACCGGACTTTGGGCAACAGCAGAGGGATTCGAGGCGGACTTCGCCGGTTACCTGGCGGAGACCCACGGAGATGCGCACTCCTCGACAGGAACGTCGGGACTGGCCCTTTGCGTCACTGGAAAGCCATAACAGATCCCGTGAACGATCAGAAGACCGCAGCCGTGGGCACCGTCAATGTTCCCCGAGACGGGTGTCACCGTATTGGGGGAGATCCCCCAGGCGCCTGACCTACGATACCTGCAGGTCCCGGTCCTGGTCCTTGTCCCGGTACTGGTCTCGAAACGCGAGGCATAGATTGCCAGTTTCCCGTCGCAGATCTGCCGAGTGCCGCCAGTCACCGAGATCCCCACAAAGGCGCTCTAGATGTGACCGTGATTATCACCAGGCACAGGGTCACCTCTCCAGTGGATCTGGGTCACTGGGTAGCAATCGCTCCGCATATGGCTCTGGTATGGAGCAAGGCTCCAAATTGGCGGG